ATAAAGGAATTATCAGCCAACAAACCTGACCCTGAGCTCCCTGGGGACAAGACAGGAGCTGATTGCTCCTGTTAGAAGTGAAAAGGTCACTGTCTGGACTGCCCTCAATGCCAGGCGTCCGAGAGGGGAAGGGAAATAAGGCAAATCTAAGCACTTGTGCTCTGTACAGCTGGACCCTTGCTAGCACTGCTGCCCTTCAGCACTTTGCCTTTGCTGGAGTACAGAGACAGGAGTGAGCACAGTCCCCCAGCGCAGGGGGGGTGAAGGTTGTCACCAGGTCACTCCTTTTGCCACACCGAGCGATCAGAACTCCTTCGCTCTCCTGCCACAAGGCAGATTCCCCAGCTTTCGACTCGTGCTGGCAGTTGCTTCCTGCACAGCCTTCAGTTTGTCATTTACTTGTCACACACTGCTGTGGGCGAGCAGCTCTATGGGAATGACATCCAGCTGCAGCGAGGCTCAGAGCAGGGGGCAGCAGCAAACACCTCCCGACTTCTGCCAAAAGCAGCTACTAAAGCCCCCAAACGTGGCTCACAGCTCCACACGCCCCCGGTTACGAGCAGCAGACTTCAGGATGCTTTCAGACATCCTGTCCTCTCCCTGTCTCAGCTTGGCCAGCATCACATCTTCCCAGACAGGCAGCCTGACATTTAGCAATGCTAAGAGGCAGTGCCAGGTAATTTGGAGCCCCACTGCTCTTTATTGCTCCTCCAGCCTCGTTTCTCCCGTGTGCTTTGCCAGCAAGGACCTTCTTTTTCCTCACAGGTCACAGAAACAGAGGCCATAGTCTGACCCGTGGGCTTCGCCCAGCCCCACTCACATTTGTAGAGAAGAGCTATATATAGTGACTTAACAGCAGGCACCACACAGCATCCACGTCTCAAATGGACTAAGAGCTGCACTTTATCGGGTTTGCTTAAATGTGATTAGAAATCTGGGCAGATTTCCTGCTTTGAGTGATCATAAACGATGCAGGGAAGGCAAAGTGAGAGCTTCTGCTTGCGCTTTCATCATGTGCGAGACGCTGGCTGGAGACCCGATAAAAGGAATTACTGTTTTAACGCAAGAAATGAGGAATCATGGTGACTTACTGCAACGAGGCACCGTCCAGCTGACTGTGCTGGGGCATTAGATGCATTAACCGATGCCGGAGAGGCAGCCGAGCCCCCTCCGTTAGCCCGCCTGCTCCTCCCCATTAGGAAAGGTTACCGAGTCCATCTCCCAGGGAAGCGCCTCGGCTCTCACCGTCTGCAGCAAACTACCGATATTCAGGAAAGGGAATTCCCTCTGGCTGTTGAAGCGTCTCATCCCTGCCCTGCGAAACGTCGCTCAGCGTTTGCCGAGCTGGAGGCCATTGAAGCATCTCGCCTCCCTTTTTTTCCAGCGCTCGAATTCGCCGGCCACGCATTGGCAGCCTGCCCAGACCGATAATGAAAACTGCCAAGACATCAGCACCAGTCAGGGCACAAGGGGCTGCAAGGCCTTGCCCAACTCATACAGAGGGTTTTCAGATCCCCAGTACCTGCTCTCCTTCTCCTCTCCCCCAGGAGAGGCTTCAAGCAACATCCAAGCTCCCTCCATGCTCCCACCATCTCTGTCCCTCGCTCCTGGGCAAGGCAGCAGCATCTCTGAATCTGATCACAGATGGGCTGGATTAAAAAAAAACAACACAAAAACCACAAACCCACACACCACCAAACCAAAATCAAATCCTAGAGCACAGAGTTTGCACGTACTGTGTTAAAAATAACACCTTGGGGCTGCAGAGGTACCCTTTGCATCGGGAAATGCCAAGTGAGAGCTGCTCACAGCTGCTGCACCCTGCCTGTTTCCAGAAGATCCTGCAGTGAATAGGACAGACACCAGGTCAGAATGAAAGGTGTGGGCGGAATAGACACTTCCTAACAGCCACAAGCTTAATCCTGCACCCTAAATGGCACAGTTCATGCATGGAGATACGCAAATCATTAACTGATCTAGTATCCTCCATGGGATGTTACTCCCCAGACTTGTTACAAGAACTCTGCCTGTTTTCCAAAAGCATCTGGCACCTGCAACGGGAGAACACAGCGAAAGAGCAGGAGCTCCAGCCTGTCCTGACCACAGCCTCTCCACTGCCTTACAGAGGATGGCATCAAAGTCAAGAGGGGCACAGGACCCCACAAAACCCAATAGGTCGCTCAGCACCTTGGGGAAGACCTGTAAAAAAAATAAAATAAAATAAAATAAAAAAATCACACCTTCATAAAGAGGGATTTTTCCTTCCAATCAATTGCTTCACATGACACTCTGTAGCTATATCTTTCGTTCTCCATGTTTTACTTTTTACACAGGAAAAAAAAATAGAAGAATATGCAGCACACCAAGAAATTGCTAGTGATCAGCATCTTCGGTACGGTGCACACCAGACCAGGATGTGCCCGGGAAAACGCATCTTCCTTCTGGCTAGGACATAGGTGTTGCTAACGCTGCAATTTGCTCTGACATGCGTATTTCATCCACCAAGAAGGAACTGGAATGGGCGGATCTGAGTTATTATCTCCTCATAATGACACGGGAGACGCTCAATGGTCTCCCTAGAGCTGCAGAGCTCTCGCTGGGTGTATAGTGCTGACAGGACTCTGCTGAGGATATGTCCATGCAAGCTCTTGCGAGGGCACAAAGGCAGGAGAGATGGCCCTAAATAGGAGATATAAGCCTGAACTGCACCTGATGTGTGATCTACACTGTCCCCCTTCAACTGTGACAACATTTGGCCAACAGGGACCAAACAGATCAAAGCCAAAGTGCATCACTTGCACACTCCTCCCTAGCCAAGCTCCCTCTGCCTTATGGGAGGGCTATAAATAAGGCAACTTCTCCCCAAACTCTGTCAAATCTTTGCTCTTCCTCCAGAGTTTTTCAGGAAGAGAGGGAGATCAGCTTCACCTAGAGCTTCCCTGCAAACACTGGCTCCCAGCTGCAGGCTAGGATATCTGCGAAGCATTGCCTGGACAACTCATCTCCTGCTCCAGAGCACTCACGCAGCCTCTGCAGGTTTCCACAGCTCCCAGCCCCCTCCGAGCCAGAAAAGGGGGAACAGTTTCCACCTCCACAACTCTGTGGGACAAAATCCACTGCTTATCTCCCAGCATATCTGCTCTGAGACCATCAGGATGGACTTGCTCACTCTTGTCATTATCCCCACGCTCATCCTGAGCACCACACACCACTCTTCTGTGTCCAGGCAGGCATGAGGTGGTCTCCAGCAGCTCCCTCTCTGCAGAGGCACCTGGCCATTAGCACTAATCCTCAAGACCTTGAGCACCATCTCCTGGTCATTCACAGACTCAGTGGCAACTTAACCTCATGACTCCACCACCACCCCAAAGCCTGGGGGACAAACCACGCGGGCAACTGAGGAAGAGAAAGGTGGGAGCCCTTAAGACATGTGCAACGCTTCAACAGGGTCATATGCTTGTTGACATACACACACACCCCAAATACCACACCAACCATGAGCTCCAGCAAGTCCCTCTCCTGGGAGCACCCCTTGCTGTTCACTTCTTCCCTCCAAGTTGTAAAAGGAATGACAAACTCAGTGGCACAACCACCTCAGCACGCTCCCACATGACCATCCCTGCACGGTGGCTGTGAGCAACCAGCACAAGATGCTGCCAGAAAACTCCAATCTGTTCATCTGCTGCTCTCCCGTGGTTCTGGGCAGCATGATAAAACAGGCACTGCTCACCGCAGGGTCTCGGGCTGCGAGATGCAGCGGGGATCACCGCCCGGTACGTAAATATCGCAGTGGCAGAGTTCAACCTTTTGGCGTGAGGGAAAGGAAGATAAATGCTACCAGTCCCCTCAGAGCCACAGGAACTCTGCATCTATCTAATTGCACTTCATAATGGATTCAGCAAACCATTAATTATCAGATTATATTTTCAGAAACCGTGGATAAAAAAGCTTTATGAAATTTAGCCTTAAAGGGGCCGGTGTGCTGCAATGAAGCTGTTGCATCATGCTGGCACCAGAGAAGTAAAACTTTACAGTAGATGTCTGAGTGCATTTTATAAAGCAATGCCCTGTGTGCCATGGGGAGCGTCTATGTGCAGCCAGACTCAGACAGAAATACCTTCATTAGTGCCAATCCACTGATACCAGTAACGAGGGGCCCTGGCAGGCAGGCACAGCTCCTTCTCCTTTCTCAGATGCAGCAGCTTCAGCACCATCCTCGGTGGATCAGAGGAGGGGTGGGAGAGGTCAGGGCTGTTTGCTCGCAAAGAGGACGTGGATGCCCAAACCTGCCCATGACCCTTCTTCCAGACAGCCAGCCACAGCAAAACCATGGATGGGATCAGACCTGTGCTGCACCAGGTATTACCTAAACAGCTCCAAAGCCATTTAGCACAACGCCCAGGAAGTCTCTGCTTGAGCAGAGGTCCAAATGTCAGCTCTAGGCTGGAGGACTTTTCTAGCTGGCACAACAGGGAGCAGAGAGCAACAGAAGAAGCAAAGCAGCCCTTATTCCCCCTGCAGAATGGTAGATACCTGCGAGCGCATCACTGATTCAGCCATAAAAATCTCCACCCTGAATTCTCAGGACAGCTTTTTCTTTGGTTTCACATAGCCATACCACCGCAACTTTGTCCTGTGCTTGTCTTCTCCTCTCTACTCTGCTCACAGCAGCAGGCAAACACACATGAACACACCCAATTCTCATCTTTCCTCTGCCGCTTTATTTTTTCTTGAGGCAAGAGACGGATGTCCCTGCTCACCTGAGCTGGCAGCTGCTGACTGCAGCGAGACTTCCCAAGCTGTTATGAACATCTACAAGGCTCTCCTGCCCTCGGCCATGCTGTGCTTCCTGTGTGCCATTTCTTTTGCAGTGTCTCATACCTGGGGTTGCTTTCCCAAAGAAACCCTGAATGTCCCTGCTGCAGCAGCACATTGAGGTACAGATCCTGAATGAGTCTAGTATATACCAGGCACGATACATGGGCATCCACCGCTCACTCTCACTTGGTTTCTTCACAAATCAGAGTGACTTTGTCATCAAACAAGTCCTCCATAGTCACTGCCACCAGCTCCGAGCCGCTTGAGTTCACTTGGGATTCAGGCAACGTCACAAAGACTTGGGAGCCAGAGAGTTGGGTGTCATCCAAAGAGATTATGTGCTCCGCTGCTCCATGCTCCGATGTCTGAATCACCTGCATGGAAGATGACCCAAGAGTCAGACACTTAGAGCACTGCTTTCCCCACAATCACTTCACTACCCACATCTTTCCCAGCCCCAGTTCTGGTAATAACATTTAGCTTCACGCCAGAGGTCTGCAATTACAAAAGGCGTGAGACTAATGGGAAAGACCAAACCACACAGGAGAGTAATTTAAATACTTCTCTCCGCAAAATTGCTATAATTTAGCTCCATAAGCATTCGTAGACAATGAACACTCTGTGATTATCCACTGGAGGGATGCCAGCCCAGGGAATCTTGCACACTGGGCTCCCTCAATCCAAGGAGCTGTTCTCCACTAATGCCCGAGACGCTGAAGG